TGGCTCTAATTCCCCTTGGTTTGCTTGATTTTCCTGCTGTGCTTTAGTTCCAACGAGACTTGCATAGAGTGACTGGCCTTTTTGCTGGAACTTCCTGCCTTTCTGGGGTTAAATGTACCCTTTAAGCTGCCCCTCCCTCCTCCCCCCACTGATTGAGCTAATCTCTAAGTAATAGCATGGAATGCTGGTCATTATTCCATTTCCTGGATGAAAATCCTCAGGAGTACTTTAAGGTGAGTATAATGGCCCTTGTTAGTGCCTCTTAAACCATCTTGTGACCCAGAGGAACAAAGATGACCTGTGCAATTGCACCTCTCGCTGAAGTCGAGTTTCAGACTAAGCACTCCCATTCCTTCTCCCTTTAAATGGTTAGTGGTCTTGGGTTGCGGTTTTTGTTCCTGTGGTCTGAGCAGTTCTTGTCCTAGGCTGCCTTGTTCCTCCTTCCCAAAGAGGCCAGGGGGCAGCCTAGTGAAATACCCAAGGTTTGAGGATGTTGTGATTAGATGGGCTGATGATTAAAGACAGGCTGGACCGTGAGCTAGAGTCCCTCTTTCTGGGTGGTTCTGCATTCCACCTAAGGCCATTTATTTATGAACGTTTAAGGGAACTTGAGCCTGGGATCTTGGAAAAATCTTACTGTATGCCAGCCTCTGTGTGAAACTAGAGAGCTATCTTGTATGGGGTTTTTTTGTGTGTCTGTGTGTATGTGTGTGTTTTTCCTATAGAATACCTGATCCTGCCTTGGATTTGCAGCTGACCTTCTTTTGAGAGGTTTTAGGAGTATTCAGAGATTATTTTTGTATTTCTTTCTTTTCTTTTTATGTCTTAGAGCTTTTTCTTCTCTTTTCAACTCATTTCATTTACTATAGCAGCAGATTGCTGGTTGCCTTAAGATTAGGAGCCTTAAAAAAATGATGAGCCTTGCATATAAGAACCTATAAGATACAGGAAATTGGTCTTCTCATGTATATAACTTGCTCAGAGACTATGACGTCTTCATGGCTTGAAAAGAAAGAAAGAATGTGGTAGCCTTTGTGGTGCTAGACGTGACCATCACGAGAACCTGTGAGTGTGCTAGCCCTTTTGGAAGGATTTAAGATGAGCAGCACATTCGGGCTTTGGGGCTCTTTTCTCTCCTTAGCTCCTCAGTGACTTTTATAGAACAGGCAAATGCCAAGGCCCACCATGGCAAATCCATGATCTGATGAACTGGCCAGGCCAAAGAGACCCAGGGTATGGCAGAGCTGTGGGTGTCCTCCTTGTCCTGAACCATCATGTATTATAGCGTCAGTTAAACCAGTGATGTTGAAGACTAACTGTCCCGAACCATAATGTGGAGATCAGCGAGGGTTTCCTGCTTGTCTGGACTCCATGACCTGTTGGGCAGACCCATTGGGTGGCACAAAGAAGTCCTCTCAGATTGGCCTCTTTTAGTGAATAAAGTTTATTTATTGAGTTAAAAAATAGAAATGGAAATAGACTATCCCCAAGTCTTTGGTGGGCGGAGCCCTTGGGGATCCCTGACACCCTAATTAGCAGTTGCTGGTGTTGAATGCTTTCGTTACCACACTCCACTCTCGTTAGCATGTACTCAGCACAAATATGGCTTTTCATATTTCTTAGATGCTCACCTTTGTTTCCTCTTCACCGGGCCCCTGGACAGGAGGCGTAAATTGCATCCATCGGTCCTCAGTCGTGGGAGCCCGCCTGCTCCTTCCTCTGGACCAGGCCCTGTAAATGGCCCGCAAGGCTGGGAGCTGTCAGCCCCTCTGGGCCCTCTGCTTCCTGGCTGCTTGGTCTGCAGTTTGGCTTCCTCTTTTCAGTAAGGTTCCGTGAATTCACATTTGAACCCACCCACTCAGCCACTCCTTCCCTTTACTAAGAGTTTATCTTTTTCTCTATGGCTTCTGCTGATGTCTGCAGTTTCTTGTCAGAGGAGCTTTAAGCGGTGGTGGGCACTTTAAAAAAAAAGTCACTGTGAAGAATGGTACTTTCCCCCAGAATGGTTCTGCCTTTGCCTCCAGCCTCTAAGCTCCACTCCTTGAGTGAGTACTTTTAAGGCATTTGGAGAATATTGGGACGACTTTCTGAAGTGCATTATTGAAGCTTTTGCCGTTGTGGTAAAAAGTGCAAGTTTGCAGTCACACGGCCTGGCGTTCCCGCATAGCTGCTGTGAGGCCTTGGACAAGTTCCCGCAAATCACTGGGCCTGCTCATCAGCTGGGACGATCAGGTGAACCTCACAAGGTTGGAGGGATTGAAGGAAGATTGTGTATAAATCTGTAAGATTGGATATAACTTTCTAAAATTAAAGCAGCAGGGAACCCCCTCCAAAGGTCATTTGCTTAACCTCCTGTGGAAAAGAGTTTTTTAAAAAATGACGGTGTAGCTATTCTAGGGTGAAATAGGTGAGTGACCTTATTGGACAGATGTGCTCTGTGGGAGTAGGTATCTTATGTGGCCAGTACTTCAGTCCCCATCCCACCCTGGGAGTGCGGATATGAATTGCAAACACACAAAGAGGGGTCGCCAGTTTTGCCTGTATTTTATATAGCTTCTCTTGCCAGGGCTTCCCTGATTCCTTCCTTCATTTCTAAGCTTTTATCCAGCACCTCCTTTGAGAGCCTGACTGACCCTGGGGAAACCAGTGCCACGAAATATGGTGCCTGCTCTCCAGGAGTCCCTGTCTACGTCGGGAGACAAATCTGTAATTCAGCAAAGCAGCGAGCGGTAGCACACCTCTTGGTCAGCAGTGCAAATGTTGGAGCTGGCTGCCTGCATTTGAGTCCTCATGTCCTGTTGTCCTTTGTTTCTCACTTTCCTCATCTGTAAGATAGGGATAAGCTTGTTTAGGGGATGAGTTAATGCATCTCACGTGCTTCTTTAGCTGCCTGGTTCCCAGGAGGGGCTCGGTAATTGTTTGCTATTAACACTGTAAGAGGCATTGATTCAGCAAATATTTACCCATATGGTGAATGACACGAAGTCCCTGCTTTCTTGGGGTGAGACAGATCATAAACAAAACAGAGCATTTCCAGTAATAAGTGCTATGAAGAAACAAAGCAGGGTGATGTGCCAGGACCTGAGAGGAGGGGAAGGTCTCAGGGATGGGGCCTTCCAGGTGAGATATGACTGCTGAGGGAGCCAGCACAGGGACATGTGAGGAGGGGACAGCTGGTGCCAGGCCCTCACGTGGAGGAGAAGGGAGAAAGGTCTGCTAGTGATGAGGCACCGTGTTGGCAGGGCCAGATCACGCCTGTGCATCAGGTTTGTTCTTGTGGCAACAAGAAGCCATAAGGGTTTTAAGCGGGGGAATACTGTGATCTTACTTTAAAAAAAGATTATTCCAACTGCTATGCAGGTCAAGGATTGTGAGAGGCTAGGGTAGAGGCAGCAGGGAGTAGTTAGGACAGCCAATGAGAGAGGGTGGTGTCATGGAAGTGGACAGAAGTGGGGTGTGTTCACTCATAGGACTTGTAGGTCCAGCCAGAAGGTGCCTGGGGTTTGTCTGTGGTTGAGTGATGCTCACCCACAGGAATAGTCACCATCAGGCACCCGATTTAGATGTGCTGACTCCACTTCCAGTGCTCTTCGCACACCTCCGCTAGGCCTCTCACCATCCTTGCTGTTCATGAAGGCCCACCCAGGACCAGGAGCCAGCTTGCAGCCCCTTTTCTTCTTATCGATTTGTTCCATGGATAGTTATTCCCTGACCATGACTTAAACACTGTGCCAGACCCTGGCGGTACAGAGGTGACCAAGAAGCACATCACTGTTGCTCTCCTGGAGCCTGCAGGAGATAAACACTACATAGATGGCCATGGTTCCCAAGGGGAGGTATGCTGCCACAGAGGCCAGAATAGGGGATTCGCCATAGGGATGGTCAGGAAGGGCTAGGCTTGAGCTAAGGGAATAGCAACCCTGGCAGAGGAACAGCATGTGCAAAACCCTGTGGCAGGGAGGTTAGTGATAAGAAGGGCCGAAACAAGACTGTGGGATCAAAGATCAGGGTAGGGAATGAGAATGGAGAAATGGGCAGAAATGGAGAAATTTCAATTTAGTGAAATAATAGAATCATGAATTAAAATGCTTCATAGTTGCCCCACTAGCGTGGCTCAGTGGTTGAGTGTCGACCTATGAACCAGGAACTCACAGTTTGATTCCCTGTCAGAGCACATGCCCGGATTGTGGGCTCAGTCTCCGGGGGGTGGGGGGGACGACACACCGACGTTCAGGAGGCAACCGATGGATGATTCTCATCATTGACATTTCTATCTCTCTCTCCCTCTCCCTTCCTCTATGAAATCAATAAAAATATATTGTTAGATTTTTTTACATCCTCCACTCGGGACCCCTGTCTGTGAAAGCCTTCGTCGCTCTCCCTACACTTTTCTCTAATTTTTAACCATCCTTTCCCCTATTTCCTGGAGCCAGTGCGAGACATTGACTCCGATTAAGCAACGTACACGAGTTGGGGTCAACAGAGTGGTGATGGAGTACCGGAAGCTGGTCCATCCTTGCTGCTTGACACAGTCGCTGCAGGGAAGAAACATCTGCACAGCATATTTCAAGGAACCTGGCGTATATGGCATACTGTTCTTAATATGTTTGCTCACCTTCTTGGCTCTATGTGTTTTAACCAAGGTCACCTCTCCGAGAAAGGTTGTTTCCCCAGGTAGGGATTTTCCCCTGAAGTTAGGGAGGGAATAAAACCCCTTAACTAAATGCCAGGCAGGTAGTTTATCTCTTTAACTACGAACAATCACCCTTAAGCTACATAATCTTTACTCCCTGGAATGGAGATAAGAAACGCCCTAACCTTTGAAATAGAAATTGACAGGATTAAAATCAACTGGTATAAATACAGATGTAACAAGACAGTAAAAGACAGAACCTGGTTGGAGAACCTAGCAACAGAACTTGGCTGGAGATCCTGGCTAGGCTGCTGATCAACTGAACGCTGCCTCCGTGTCATTCCTTCTTTGCTGACTCCGTCCACACATGGTGGTGGCGCAGGTCACCCGGGAGAGCGTGCAGCAGGCCATCACCAGCGGCATTACGCCCCAGCAGATCATCCATTTCCTAAGGACAAGGGCCCACCCAGTGATGCTTAAACAGACACCTGTGCTGCCGCCCACCATCACAGACCAGATTCGGCTGTGGGAGCTGGAAAGGGACAGACTCCGCTTCACCGAGGGCGTCCTGTATAACCAGTTCCTGTCGCAAGTGGACTTTGAGCTGCTGCTGGCCCACGCACGGGAGCTGGGCGTGCTGGTGTTCGAGAACGCGAGCAGCCTTTGCCACAAGCTGCTGTGGCCCTGTGGGTCAAGAAGGAATTCAGCAAAGCTCAGGAGGAAAGTACAGGGCTGCTGAGCAGCCTCCGGATCTGGCACACGCAGCTGCTTCCTGGTGGTCTCCAGGGCCTCATCCTCAACCCCGTCTTCCGCCAGAACCTCCGCACTGCGCTTCTGGGTGGGGGCAAGGCCTGGTCTGATGACACAAGTCAGCTGGGACCAGACAAGTATGCCCGGGATGTCCCCTCACTGGATAAGTACGCCGAGGAGCGATGGGAGGTGGTCCTGCACTTCATGGTGGGCTCCCCCAGTGCAGCCGTCAGCCAGGACTTGGCTCAGCTCCTCAGCCAGGCGGGGCTTATGAAGAGTGCTGAGCCTGGAGAGCCGCCCTGCATCACCTCTGCTGGCTTCCAGTTCCTGTTGCTGGACACCCCCGCCCAGCTCTGGTACTTCATGCTGCAGTACCTGCAGATGGCCCAGAGTCGGGGCATGGACCTAGTGGAGATCCTCTCCTTCCTCTTCCAGCTCAGCTTCTCTACTCTGGGCAAGGACTACTCTGTGGAAGGTATGAGTGATTCTCTGTTGAACTTCCTGCAGCATCTGCGTGAGTTTGGGCTTGTTTTCCAGAGGAAGAGGAAGTCTCGGCGGTACTACCCCACGCGCCTGGCCATCAATCTCTTATCGGGTGTTTCTGGGGCGGGGGGCACTGCGCATCAGCCAGGCTTCATTGTCGTGGAAACCAATTACCGGCTGTACGCCTGCACAGAGTCGGAGCTGCAGATCGCCCTCATTGCCCTCTTCTCTGAGATGCTCTATCGCTTCCCCAGCATGGTGGTGGCGCAGGTCACCCGGGAGAGCGTGCAGCAGGCCATCACCAGCGGCATTACGCCCCAGCAGATCATCCATTTCCTAAGGACAAGGGCCCACCCAGTGATGCTTAAACAGACACCTGTGCTGCCGCCCACCATCACAGACCAGATTCGGCTGTGGGAGCTGGAAAGGGACAGACTCCGCTTCACCGAGGGCGTCCTGTATAACCAGTTCCTGTCGCAAGTGGACTTTGAGCTGCTGCTGGCCCACGCACGGGAGCTGGGCGTGCTGGTGTTCGAGAACGCGGCCAAGCGGCTCATGGTGGTGACGCCTGCGGGGCACCGTGACGTCAAGCGCTTCTGGAAGTGGCAGAAGCACAGCTCCTGACATGGGCACCGGGCGACGCCCCGGGGACATGGGGGGACTGCACGTGGGGACGCTGCTGTTCAATAAAGTCGGAAAGCGCTCAAAAAAATATATATATTTTTTTAAATGCTTCATAGCATCATTACTGGCACATAGTAAATGCTTAGTAAATATTAGCTATTATCTACATGTACTTGATAGGTTTTGGTGGGAGAAAACCCTGAGGTTGGTTTTGGGTATGTTGAGGTCTAGGTACTTCTGAGTCATCAGAGAAGTGGAAGCAATACTGCCCCAGGCAGAAGTGTGCTCACTGAATAGTCCCAGCCTTGTCTACACGCTGGGACACTGACCTCCGGAGCCTCTGCTCCCTCTTCTGTAGAGAAGAAATGGTATTATCCACCTACCCTCTGGCTGAGGAGGCGCTACACACATGTAGGGTGGTATTAGTATTATTTTATCTGTCATTATATGCTCCCCTCCTTCTTTCCACCACGTAGTTGGAATCAAGAAAACTTTCCTGTTTTGCCAGTTATAGGGTTGTGCACTTGCACCCTGAAAGGCTCCTTGTGTGCCACATGTGGCATCAAGTTCTTCTTCTCTCAACCATTGTCTTTCTTTCCTTGTTCCTCTCCTGTTTCTGTCCTCTGCCCCCCACCACTCCCCTTCCTTGTGCCAGGACCCCTGGGAACTCATGCTGACTCTGTGGGTGTTTCTGAGCAATTAAACTGCTGAGGTTGATGAGTTCTGGCATTAACATGTCGTCAGGGTCTTACAGTAAAATAAGAACAGCTGGTAATAGTGAGAGGGACAGTGACAGTCCCTCTGCAGGGCTGATTTGGTGCATATATGTTTGCTCTGCAGTGTGGCACTTATCGGGCAATGATAACTTGCAAACTTTCTAATTTAGCATTCATTTCTTGGCACTAGATGAGAGCAGTCCTAGCATGCAGGAATGAGTCATGTAATAGCAGAGATAATTCTTACAAATAATAAACATCCCTTTCTATTATTCCAAAGACAAACATTGGTGGTGGTGTCATTGGGGTTTTTCATGACCTTTTGTGCACTCTGGACTGGTCTTTTCCAAAACAAATGTGGTGTCTGCATTTTAGATACTTTTCCTCCCCTGCCCCTTTATCCTTCAGAAATAAAAGATTTTCCAACACAAGGCTAAATGTCAGCTGACGTTGCAAATGTGTAAAAGGATCATTTTTATGGTCCTTAGCTTCCAAGGGTTCTTGTGCAAGCTTCTTTTTTTCTGGATTCAGTTTTCTTGTTTGTGAAATGATGGGGTGAACCTTGATCATCTCCAAGTACTCCTTCTGTTTCAAGATGGGCCCAGTTGAGGTAGCCTTTGCTTTTAGACTCTAGAAACACTGCTGAAGTGTATAGTAAGTAAAGTGGACATTTTGTACATCAGGTCTACACCCTAAAGGACCATATGATGAACTTGATTAAAAATTTTAAAAAGTAAAACATTCTTCTGCTTAACCCTTGCAGGAAGTCTGTTTGGGAGGTTGGGGAGGGACTACGTTTGGTCTCTTAAAGCAGGGCCCACCTCTGCCCGTGAGTCAGGATGCATTGTCAAAGCTTGGTTCTGCTTCGAGATGGCTTACTGTCGGCCTCTGAGAAGGGCCCCTTTTAAAGTGCTCCAGTGCCCAGTGTTGCAAATGGACACTTATTCTCCACCGGTCCAGCCCGTAATCCACAGCAATGCCATCGCTTACCCAACTGAGCCTCCTGAGGTTGGGCTTTTTGTGCTGTTGGGACAACTTGAAAAAGACTACCTTACCCCACTCTCCCACCTAGAATCAAATATACCAAGATGGCAAACACAGTCTTTTCTCTTGAATTTAGTATTGGAAAATAGACTGTTCCTATGTCTGGCTTTAGGAGGGGAGGGCTGAAGCTTGCTCCCAAGACTATCAGCATCCATTTGTCTGTGAACTTAGGCTGAGTTAAGGGCAGTTGGGGGATAATTGAACCAGATGGATCAGGTTTGTAGTGTGAACAAAGATACTGAGACCTACATCGTAGTTATTTCACTGTGAGGCATGCTGTGCTCCCTTCTCCCTGAACCGTGAGGAATCTGAAATAGTTGAAAAGGAAGGGAGTGGTCAGAAAGAGGAAGATGGTGGTGCTAGGAAGCCCCGACGGGGTGGTGGTACCGCCTTCACCTGGAACTTGGTCTGTAAGTGAGGCCTTGATGAGGAAGGAGTGTGGGCCCTGGAATTGGGAAACTTGATTTGAATCTCCAGCCAGCCTCTTCCAGGCACCATGGCCCTGGACAAGCTCCTGAACCTCTTTTCTTCCTTTGCCCGCCAGGGAGTTAGAAAGAGCTGGCTCTGTGTGTTACATGCCAGGTAGGGTGGGCATCAAACTAGTAGTAGCTGTTGTTATTGTGAATAATGTCTGGGGCCCCAGGAAAGATGTCATTGTTTTGATTCCAGATTTTGTGCCAGGAGCTCTACCTCTGCTCTCATTTCATCCTAATACATCTCTGAGTTTAGGCAGCGTTATTCCCATTTCACAGGATAAGAAACGTGTGGTGGTGGTGGTGGGATTTAAGTAACTTGTGTGAAAGTTTCATTATAACTGTCAGGGACTAATTTTTGGGAATCCCTAGTTCCAACACACTCACTATCTTTCTCTAAGGACTTGAAAGTGATAATAGTCATGGTCCCTTTCTGATTTTGTAAATTGTAGAAAATTAGCAAAGGATAAAAAGAAATAATTACCTTAATCCCACTACTTAAGACAAAACATTCGTTATGTTGGAGTATTTCTCTCTGGCCTTTCATGATTGTAATTTAATTTTATGGCAGATAAATACATAGATACTGTTATATATATGTTATGTTGCTATGTTAGATTACATTGATTATTATATTGTGGGTGGCAATATTGCATGGTACCTAAAAACATGGCTCTGGGTCCATATTCCAGCTCTATCACTTACTAACTTTGTGATCTTTGCTAAGTTCCTTAACCTCTCTGTATCTCAGTCCTCTCATCTAGCTTGTAGGCATGTTATGAGGATTGAATGAGGTCATATATGTAGAGCACTTAGAGCAGTGTCTGGCACACAGAAAACCCTTTGGCATAACTATCTATTATATAAAAAGCCTGTGGTCGTCATGCCATCATGCTGTAATGACCGATCAGCAGGAGGCTTTTCGAGGCACACGTGGGTGGGCAGGAACTTGACCGGAGGCGCGGGTGGGTTTCTGGGTCCCGCTGGGGCAGCGGGCGGGTTTCTGTGTCCCGCCTCCCGCGGCAGTGGCGGCCGTGGGACTCTTTCTGGGTCTCTCCGAGCAGCGGGAGTCTGGGTCCTGGGTCTCCTGCGATCTCGCATGCTGGGCTCCTAGTTTATTATAATCATAATCACCATTTTTGTACATTATTACTATTTTCTTTATAAAACTGATCTTAGCTGTTTCGTGACATTACATTACATAGACATATCATAATTCACATTGACAACCTGCCTATTCATTCATTGTCTTGAATGTGCTAACGAGCAGCTTGGAAATAAGGTCCAATATGCTGGCATCTTCAGTGTGAGACATTGCAGAACATGTAGGAATCCACTCCCTTGTCAGACCATTGCATTTCTTTTTCTTGGCTGTCGTCAGCTCTTCAAGCATCAAGACCCCACTTTGTTCTTTTACCCCTGGTTTCGGCTTTGGAAAGTGTGGCCTTTCAGTCCTACTCAGTGATACAAGTGCACTTTGTGCCTGTCTGTCTGGCATCGACTATAGGGTCAGGAGGTTTGTGACCATGGAGCTGCTGGGGTTTCATCTGCAAATGAAAACCACCTGGCCAGCTGCTCCGGTCAGATGGAAGCCAGATGGGAGAAGTCAGGAGGGGGCACTGGGCAGTCTGGAGCAGCGTCCGAGCATCATGTCATCTCCAGCCTTTACCTATCATCTCCTCCGGTGTCCATATAGTTCCAGGGTACAAGGTTTCCCACTCAGGCCATGGCCATCCGAAAAGAGGTGACCCCAGAACCTAGAGAGGTGACATGCAAGTCAGATCTGACGAAGAAGAGGAGCAACAGGCGGTTAAGTGGCCATCAGAGTGGAAATTTTAACTGTGATGATGAAGGGAGATGGTAGGGAAAGTATGGAGCAAAGTTAGCGGGATCCACATGGCACATGTTAGGAGAGGATTATGGATGTGAGCAAGGTCAGTGATTAAACAGACAGACACCGAAAACAGTCCCCATCTCCCTCTCCCCCCCAATACCTTAGCTAAGTGACAACTTATTGCAAATTAGGGAGTAAAATTATCATAGGTAAGAGGTGGCAAAACACTGTCTTTCTTTGGTCCAAATTGTCCCAGCTGCCACCAGGTTTTGATTGGGGTTCAGAGAGTGCAGAGTTTGGGAGTGTTTACCTCTGGGCTTTGTAGATTAAGGAGGTTGCTGAAGTGAAGTAATGTATTCATTTTAGTCTCTAAACACTCTTCAACTTGGCAAAAAAAGTAGAAAAATATGAATCAACTACCCAATAGAGTGGGAGGGAGCCCATTCAGATTGATTTACAACCAAGAGTAAAAGCTCTACTTTGGAAAGGAAAAGCCCTCTCATAGATGGAAAGTACCAGGAGAGAACATCGACATTCTGGGTATTTACTTTAGCCTTTGGAGCTGCCCCAGCGTTCCATTCCATACTAGTTGCCCACTGCCTGCCTGCCGTGTAAGCAGGCTCTGCCTCCCTGTCTTACATTTGATTCCTTGGAGATGATTTGGCTTCCCATCTCTATGGACCATGGCCCTTCCCTTAACACTTATTTGATTGGCTGATAGGTTGACTGTCTGCTAGCCCTTCAAAAAGTTCGCTCTGTGTGCCCAGCACTATCTCTCTTACCCCCAAATCAATGCCTGGGAGGCACTCATGCGTCCCATCCACTCCATGGCAAAGGAGTTTGCACAGCTCCCTCTGTGTTATCTCTGTCTTCACCCTTCCTACATTGAACAAAGCTTATTAGAATGCAGGTGTGAGCATCATAATTAGAGAGCTAACATCACTCTGTTCTAATTCTTTTAAAAAATATATATTTTATTGATTTTTTTTACAGAGAGGAAGGGAGAGGGATAGAGAGT